GGCTGCTTCCTTGAATATACAGTAGTCAGAAAATAGGTTATAAATTAATAATTAACACAATGAATCTGAGCAACTGGAAGTGCTTGAACTAAAAATATACTTGAGGTCAGATATTGGCATAGTTTGCATGGACATAACAAAAATTCCTGTATATTAACCTCAGCAGACAAACTTAGTATTGTAATCTGGCTTTCAGAATCATATGAAATCATTGTGATAATTAAGATTGATCTAACAAGCCATGAACAATGAGAACACTGAATAGGACATGAGGCAGTGGTTGGTAGGTAATCAAGAAGCAATATGATGATGATAAGCACGTATGGTAAAGCAGTATCTTCACCAAAGGGTATTTCAAGAAGAATAATCAATAGCTAATATTGGCTGGGAACCTCAAGAGTTCTTATCGTATAACTCGCCTGGTAGATCTTAGGATAGAGAAGGCTTATAGGAGGGTGTGTCTGCTTCTGCTAAAGCTCTGAAATTCTTTAATATGCAATGCCTATATGTTAAGTGTATAATGATTGTAACAGCATACACATTTTGCAAATACAGGCTTACCTAATCTGTTTGCTTCCATTTTAGTTTAGCTTTATTGGAATCCTGCCATGTAGGAGAAAGGGAATGATTTACTCCCAGAGCCTTGATTTCCTTATGAAAGAATAATGGGTATATTGGAAATCTACAAATAATTCAAGGGCTGTCCGGTCAACTTGTATCAGCTTGATAAAGTTTGATCAAGTGAAAAGTATATTGTATTGCTAAGATAGGAAAAGCTGTTCACCGTTCTTTACTTATACTAAGTTTCTATGATTCAACTTGTTTTTAAAAACCTTAATATGCCATGAAAAGTTAAATTCTGACACAAGTACTCAGATTAAATAAACTCAGCTCTGTTCTGTCCACCTTTATTCTGCTTTGGCTGGTAATAGGGAACAAAATAAACGTCTGAAGCTACTAGAAATTGTTTAGCAGTCATGCTTCAAGCTTCTGAGATTTTACCAAGCATGACAAGAATCAAAGCCAGTCTGTCAGTTAGACGTTTTTCTAAGTAATGCAAGAATCTTAATGCCCTAAGCATATTTTTATAGTGATAATTATGACACCCAGAGCGATTGTCCATGGTTCCTCACATGGAAAAAACCCTATTCAGATTTTGATATATTTTATACTGCTATTGAATGAAAGGATATTTTTCACTCTAGGTTGTGCATAGACGGCTAGCTACTGGGCCATTGACTTTGAAGATGACGGCATTGACCTATAGGTTGAAGTGCAAAGAAATAAAGGTAGTCCTTGTTTAGTGACCTCATTTGGTTTTGGTTGCTAAGCGAACCACCTGATTAAGAGACGGGGCTTCAAAAATCACTGGTTGTTGCTGCCTCATTCAGATAAAGTTCTCTCATACAGTGTCCTGTGCCTGACCAGTTTCCCTCCTTTTTATCCCCTTTCAGGGCACAGAATTTGCTTAAAGAAGCTGTATCTTCCCAGCTGTTTTCTCTGGAGTACATTGGGCAAAGTTGTCTAGCTCCATTACACATTTTTTTCCTTTTCTCTTTTTTTCCCCATTATATTTAACAATGAAGTTACAAATAATGAAGTTACAAAGGCCACACTTGGAATACTGCATCCAGTTTTGGTCACCACGATGTAAAAAAGACTCTAGAAAGAGTACAGAGAAGAGCACCAAAGATGATTAGGGGACTGGAGGCTAAAACATATGAGGAACAGTTGCTGGAATTGGGTATGTCTAGTTTAACGAAAAGAAGGACGAGGGGGGACATGATAGCAGTGTTCCAATATCTCAGGGGCTGCCACAAAGAAGAGGGAATCAAGCTATTCTCCAAAGCGCCTGAGGGCAGGACAAGAAGCAATGGATGGAAACTAACCAAAGAGAGAAGCAACCTAGAACTGAGGAGAAACTTCCTGACAGTTAGAACAATTAACCAGTGGAACAACCTGCCTCCAGAAGCAGTGAATGCTCCAACACTGGAAGTTTTTAAGAAGAGACTGGACAGCCATTTGTCCGAAATGGTGTAGGGTTTCCTGCCTGAGCAGGGGGTTGGACTCGATGACCTCCAAGGTCCCTTCCAACTTTATTATTATTATTATTATTATTATTATTATTATTATTATTATTATTATTATTNTTGTTGTTGTTGTTGTTGTTGTTATTATTATTATTATTATTATTATTATTATTATACCTTGTTACAATTCTTTTATTTACAACAAAGATATAATTTCAAAAAGATACTATCTGTTAATAAGCACATAATTATTCAGGTTGTGCAAATGTTATCAATATGACATTAATAAGGGTCCCGAGCAGGATATATTGTTTTTATGATATCAAAAAGTATGAACTTTTGAGTTTAATGTCAAAAGCTTTACTATATTATTATTTATAAATGTTTAAACTAACAATACCCCTAAAAATAATAAAGGTATTTAATTTCTGACTTCCCCCTTCCTTGTGCAAAGTTAAGCCTCACAATTATGAACAAGTATCTTAATAAATTATGGTATGCCTTTGATAGGTTCTGGAATTATACCTAATAAAAAAATAGCGATTCCACTTTAAATTTCATCCCCAAAATTCTCTGGGTAATTAGGTATATTTTTTCCAGTACTTTTTTTTGGCATGCCCTCCTGATATGTTCCTTTTTTGTGGCATTTCCCACATTTATTATTTATGATTTATGTACTTTGGCAAGTATTGGAGTTGTATACTATCTGTAAAACATTTTACAGCAGTTCTCTTTCAAACCATAGCTTGGCATGCATTTTATAACTTGTTTCATAGTTCTTCCCACTGCTGTATTAAAACTGTTCCCTTTGAATCCCACTATAAAAAACTGACCTTTGATCAAGGTACATTGTAAAAAAAATGAATTCACTGTACATTCAGAAATAGTTTATTTTAAATATATAAATTACATTTCATAGAAATGACACAAGTAACATCTCTGCTATATAAACAGAATGCTGGTTATTTACACATATGGTATATTTTAAATAGCATTAATATGATCTAACTCATTTGAGAAGTGAAGAGTCAAATCAATAGTAAGATATTTCTCTTATACAGGTAGCCCTCAATTTGCAACAGTTCATTTAGTGACCGTTCAAAGTTACAACGGTACTGAAAAAAGTGTCTTATGACCGTTTTCCCACACAACTGCTGCAGGATCCCCACGGTCATGTAAATCAAAATTTGGCAACTGATTCATATTTGTGACAGTTACAGCGCCCTGAGGTCATGTGATCACCTTTGGTCACCTTCTGACAAGCAAAGTCAATGGGAAACACAGATTCGCTTCACAACTGTGTTACTAACTTAACAATTGCAATGATTCATTTAACTGGCAAGAAAAATCATAAAATGGGGCCAAACTCACAATAAATGTCTCACTTAGCAACATAAATTTTGGGCTCAATTGTGGTCGTAAATCAAGGACTATCTGTATAGCAGAAGTTAAGGATATTCTAATGGAAAAAATCATGGCTTTATATTAAAATGCTACGGACTAATATTGCACTTGTTTTGAGATGCTGAACTCATGAATTAGCCATCTTTCCATAAGAATGAATGAAATGAAAATTCTAATACAAATATGACAGATTGCAATACCTAAATACGGTAAGATATACAGTATATTGAAAATAAAAGGAAAAATAAGGAGTTTGATAAAGTAAAAACCCTTGGCTTATAATTAACTTAAAGTGTGTCAAATTTACAAGTTTATCAATTGGTTTGGTTGGAATAATCCAGATTCCTATAATGAAGTCTATATTAGAATCTGATCTTCCATTTTAGTTTTGCAGATGACTATGCTGTTTTATCTAAAAACATTACATCAATTGCATAATTGGAATAGGAATGCACAGATTTCAGGCCATCCATTTATTGGGCTATATTTAAACTCCAGTAGAAAATAGGGCTATAACTTATCCAAATGATTATATCAGTGACCCACTAAAACCAACATAATTCTAAAATAATGAGTAACTAAGATCTAAATATAGGCAGTTTGGCATAGTGGTTAAGGCACTGGGCTAGAAGCCAAGAGACCATGAATTCTAGTCCCACCTTAGGCACAAAGCCAGCTGGATGACCGTGGAACAATCTCTCTCTCTCAGTCTAGGAAGGCTGCAAAGCCAAACCACTTCAGAAAACTGCCAGGAGAGTCCAGGCAGTAGACAGGAGTCAACAATAATTGAAACACACACACATACACATACACATACACACACACACACACACACACACACACACACATTCTGATTAATTTCACATGACTCACCATGTTACTAACTTGGTCTGAGGCAACTTTATGGAATTAGGATTGTCAAACTTTGATTGTAAAAATCCTCTGATGTGCTTTAATTGTACCTGGACATGATAGAAAACTTTACCAATGAAGGCTTTGGTGGGTATAGGTGTACATGCATGTGTGCATTCATGATCCTGTGTAAAACAGGAACATATACTTAATTGCAGATGAGCATGCAGCACAGATTCGACTTGGCAACTCTGTGGAAACATGCCAGATCCAACTAGAAAAAACTTGATCAAATCAAAAGGCTACCTAATTCACAAAATTAAATTTATAGAGTCCAGCTAATGCCATTCTGGATATGTCCAAAACTTTCCTTCCTGTCTGGGTAGGAAAAAAAAAAAGAAGGAAACTAGAATGTTTCAGATACAAGCATATACAAGCTATAAAGTTTTCCAGACATAGTTGCACAGCAAATTGTATATATTCATATTGTCTAAAATATAGTAGTTCAGAATGAAATTATGCAAAGTTTAAGCAATATAATAGCAATAGCTATAGCAGTTAGACTTATATACTGCTTCAAAATGCTTCACAGCCTTCTTAAGTGGTTTACAGAGTCAGCATATTGCCCCCAATAGTCTGGGTCCTCATTTTAACGACCGCGGAAGGATGGAAGGGCGAGTCAACCTTGAGCCATTCAGAATTGAACTGCTGGCAGTCGGCAGAATTAGTCAGGATCACAATAATAATGCCTCAGATGGATCCTCTGTTATTCATCATATACCAGTGTAGACAAGGAAATGGATTGTCTTCTGAGAAAACAGATGCTATTGCACAAGAGCTGTGAATTTGTACTGAACTCAAGTACACATAACTTGATTGGCTAAGCCTGATATTATCTTCAGAGCTGCTTATCTAGAGAAAAAATGAAGTGCGAATGAAGTAATCCAAAGGCAACAGCAGTTCACTTACTGTCTTCAAGTAGCTTCTGTAAATTGCTTTGTATCTTGGAGGAAAAAAAATATACAGAACACATTATATAGATAAAGCTAGCTGCTACATGGACAAGAAATGAACTGTTGACTAGCCATCATATCTAAAATGGAATACTTTCTTTCACTGTGGCTCAAACCACGTAAATTCATTGAGGATTACATTTTTAAAACTATTATATCTAGCTTATTAATTCTACAGCAGTGATTTAGACCAGGGGTAGGCAACCTTGGCTCTTTTATGACTTGTGGACTTCATTACCCAGAATTCGTAAACCAGCTATGCTGACTCAGGAATTCTGGGAGTTGAAGTCCACAAGTCATAAAAGAGCCAAGGTTGCCTACCCCTGATTTAGACCAACAGTCCTTTCCCTTCTCTGGATTGTCTTAATACAATGTATGTCTATGGACAAGGTGCCTTATTGCAACATTTGGAGAACAGTGACTTCATCATTACAAAAAAATGCAATGAATTGTATGGCTTCTTGGGTTGCCCAATAGATGCTCATATAAGTCTATAGCATAGGAAGAGACATCATGCAAGTAGGACTATATATGAGCTGACCTGAAAAACAGATTAACTGAAGAGGCCTAAAATGCTTTAACTGGATGTTTTCAAGTCTGTGAAGAAGAATTACTGTTTCTGGGATCAGAATGTTATTGGTATTCAGCAGTGATGGCACAACCTTTGGGGATGGCATATAAAAAAATTCAAAAAATATTAATTTGACTCTGTTGGAATGTCATTCCCCCCCCCCAACAGAAGAGACTGGATAGTCACTTGTCTGAAATGGTATAGGGTTTCCTGCCTGAGTAGGGGGTTGGACTATATGACCTCCAAGGTCCCTTCCAACTTTATTATCATCATCATCATTATCATCATCAACATCATCATCATTATTATTATTCCATTTTTACGCAGACTCCATAGCCTCTGAAAATTGAATGAGAACAGGGCTGCTAGCAAGAAGAGTTGTTCGGTGTTGGGGAATGCTGGAGTAGAGTGTCACTTTGACACACATGGCGTTAATTTGCCATCACTGGTAATACAGTATGGGGACAGACAAAATTTCAAAGAATTTTATTTTTGTGGGTAGATTTTTTGCCTAATTGAGACAATGGGGGGAGGAGAATCTTCTAGGAAATTTTCTTAAATTTTATGGAATTTATCTTAGAAAGTTTTATTAGCATTCTTCATTATGTGGCTTTTTAGGCAAGCTACCCCTACCAAAATATCTTCTACACAATTATGAAAGATTTCAACCCTCTGACCTCTTTTGTTCCAATCCAGTTAAAAGATATTTAACCAACTATCTTGTCAGCCCAATAAATCCCAGCTCCATCTTTATATGCATGAAGTCTCCCAACTATTTTTGCTTTCTGTAGTTTAGCAATTCTTTCCAATTACCTTTTCCAGTTTGATAAGATTAGCTGTTAGCTCTGCATACAGACCGTCAACATTATATTTTTGGTGATATCCCAAACCACCTTGTATTGGATGTCTGAAATAGAGAATATGGGTTGAGAAAGTGAGACAGTGTATAATTACAGATGGAATAAATTAAAAATCTAATTACATAACAAAACCGGAACAAGCAGAAAAGACAAGTTTATTCCTGTATGCTGATGCACACTGAGTATAGCAACTTCATGATACAAGATACCTATCAGTAATGTATGTTCATGTCATAATATTTGTTCTGATCTTGACATATTCTTGAATGATATAAGGTCACTCAAAAAGGAGAAAAAGGTTAGGGACAATTCATACAACTATCTCAGGAATAGTTCACTAAGAAATGAATTAAACAAGGATGTATCCTTGTTCTGCTTATATTTGCCTTTCATAAATTAAAATACTATTGAAAGACCTGAAAGACCCACTAAGAGCAAAATCATCCCAGAGAAACTCTTATCTATGAAGTTGCTAAAACTCAACACTGACTTAATGGCACATAATTAATCAAGTTCAAATAATATATAGTTGCATTTTTAACTAAAATAGTATTTCTACTGCTGTCTTCACAGGCATAGTGTCAGTGTTATATGCAGAAATTCTTGTTCGATTGAGAGAAGGAGAGGCCATTACAAACCCAAATTCTTTACTGTAGAGACTGACAGTTGCAAATACATTTGGTAAAACAAAGATTATGATTTTTGTCTAAAAAAAAATAGAATATAGCTCATGTGCACAGTTAATAAACAGCATTTGTAGAGCAAGTGTTTTAAACAACCGGGTGTGATTTTTCATTCAACAAATTAGTGTAAAAATAAGCATATTGCTTATGCTATTCGAAATGGCCAAAAGTGGATTTCAGCTAACACATCATTTTTTGAAGCCAAAAGGATCAGTTACACCCTTATTGAATTAATATGTTTGTTAAACTCATAGCTCAGGTGTTAGGTAATGCAGATGTAATTGACTACCTATGAGACTATCTGATCCAAATTTTTGAGAAAACTGTTTTAAGTGCCCAGCTGTATCTTCAGTGTGGCCTTTCATACAGAAGCTGCTTTACTGAAGCAGATATAGGCCATAGATTACTATCTTAGTTTTACATCTAAATTTGATTTTCTATTCACAGGATCTCACTGCCTTAATACTCACTGATACTTTTACATCACCTTGGAAATGTAAAGATGTTCAAAGAACTGGCTATGAGTAACCAAAGACTGTACCACCAAAAAACAGATGATGTTAAAAATTGGACAAAAAATGTGGCTGGCAATCTTGACCCTAGTTCTAAGCCAGCAAATACTTTGAGCAGCAAACTCTAAATATCACAGAATGTTTACATTTACCATCTTAATACTCTTTCTTCATAAGCAGTGGAAGGCAAATTCACAAACATCTTCTATGACAACAGAACCTGGTCTTCTGGCTGAGATGCCACTGAAACTCTAGCACAGGGGTTCTCAACCTTGGCAACTTTAAGACTTGTGGACTTCAACTCCCAGAATTCCTCAGCCAGCAAAGCTGGCTGAGGAATTCTGGGAGTTGAAGTCCACAAGTCTTAAAGTTGCCAAGGTTGAGAACCCCTGCTCTAGCATATGCCCTGTTTTATTGTAACTTTTAGAAAGGTAATTGTAAGAACCCATTATTCCTAGATAATTTTATATTTGTTATTTTTTGGATAAGCAAGACCTAAACATCAAAGTCTATTGCCAAGTTTTTCTACTCCACTTATTACTCGAGGCACAAATTTAAAGAAGAGAGTATTTGGGTGGATATTAAAGTTCCTATTAATAGTGGTTTTTGTAGTAAATTATGGGTCCTATACAGCTGTTCCATTGTATTTTGGTCTGTGACTACAATAAAGTTTTAAGTTTATCTTTTTAGGAATACACCAGGGCTGTTAAGAGTGAAGCTTGAAAATAATTGCTTGAAGGTGTCATTTATAAGAATGTGAATATTCATTTATAAGCACATTGAAGCTGTTGCATGGAAATATCAGCCTGAAAATGGAAATTTAACATACATTTACTTTGGTTATTATGAGCTGTGGTTTTTTTTTCTTTTTGCATAGGATTTGTTAGCATTACACTAAAGCACTGAAACACTGTATAAAACATTACACAGTATATTTACACAGTCGGGGTACAATTAGATTCTTTACACATATAAAATCTAACTCTGATCTTATAACTTCAGTAGCAGACATTTTTGCAGAAATTCAGTAAAGAGTATCTTTACTGTCTTTATGCTAGAAAAGTATTCACCTGCTAAATTTTTACATTACAGTAATCCAATTGCAACATGATTCAGGCATGAGTGACTGTCTGAAGGGGCTCCCAATCTAGAAAAGGGAACAACTGACACATTAGATGCACATGTGCAAATGCCTTATGGGCCACAGCTACCATCTGCTGTTTTTACAAAAGGACACCCCGATTCCTCAAAGTTTTAAATGTGAAAGCGAGAGTCAATGATGGTATGACTATTAAAACCATTATTGGATGGATTGAAATAGTTAATGTAAAGGCGAAAGAAGTCATATGCAGTGCTGTGCTATATTAGACCAGGCAAGATATAATCTGCCACGCTAGGACAATCATTTACAGAGGGCCTATTAAGGGTCTCCTCATTCTGCAAGGTCTGTGTGATGAGGGCTGGGGCTTTTCAGTGGTGGTGGACCTTACTCCCTGAAATATGTTACCCTAGAAATGAGGGTGGTCCCATCCTTTTTCACATTCAAGACGCAGATTAGTATTATTCCAATAGGCATGGATCCTCTAGTTCAGACATGTCAAACACGCGACGTCATGTATTGCAAATGGTCATAAATGTAGGATGATTGTGAGTGCTCAAAATGTGATCGTGTGAGCCTGTGTTGGTGGAACTCTGAATCTGGTGTGCGTGTGTGTGTGTGGATCTGTTATAACTTAGAAAGATCATAAGTCTCAGACTGCTTGTATATGGAAAAAGGCTTATTTCAAAAAATGATAAACAAAAAGCCAGTTTCCTATAAAAGTAATGTAAAAATACAGTGTAAGGTGCAAAAACAGACTGAGCAGCCTATTTTAATAGCTTTCCAATTAACAACAAAATAATAAATGTGTTGAAATAGCAAAAGCAGGACACTAGCTAGGTGGGATATGGGCCCTGTGAGATACAGCTCACTGTATCTTGAATTTGTTGAGTTACATTTTTTATGCTTGGCTGCTGTGTGTTTTTATACTATGTATTTTTAAAATCTAATTTACCATAAGCTGCCTAGAGTCATGTATGTGAGATGAGTGGCTATGTAAGTCAAATAAATATAAATAAATAACTGTTAAAAAAAAAGCAAGCCTGCTTAAAGAAGAATAAATATGTGCACCAGAAAAAGGTCAGAATAACAGCAAGAATGTCAATATGGTTGATCAGTGAGATATTACATGCTTGGACTTTCAGATTTTTGATAAAATCCTCTCCCCAAGGATTTCTTGGAAAACTTATTATACAAATGACTTATCTCTAGAATCAATGCAGTATATTTCTCAAGTTCTCATGCCCTGCTTGTATTTGGCCACTGTGAGATTCTCAGATTCTCAGCTAGTCCACATCATCTTTCTTGTTTTTAAGTTTGTTTGAAAAAAAAAAAGAAATATAAAAGAATACAAAGGACGCTGCATTTCAACAAAGAGTAACCTTACTCATTCATATGTGGATCCACAGTAGAAGCCATGAATACAAGTTGCTCTTCCAAATGATGAACTTTATATCGCAAATAGAATGTGGAACATATGAGGATAAAAACACTGCAAGAGAGATGTAGAAGAAAAAAGAACATAAACAGATGACTGCCCGTATAAGATAAACTCATTTGTAATATAGAAAACCTATTACAATATCAAAGCTCCCGTTACACTAAATTAGGTAATGTTAACCGTGCTTTGTCAAATCCTGTGCCGATTTAGCTCAGCTCATCTGTGTAATCAGACATTCAGAAGGAGTTTGGAGATATTCCTTCTTAAGAGAGCCTCAATAGGGAAAGAAAAAGCCCTCGTGGGATCAACAAGAAAAGCAAATGTTAGTGAGCTGAGCTCTGTTCCAGCAGTAAATAGCCTGACCCATATTCTTGTCCGATTCAACAGGGTTTCTTCAGAAATTTGCCCTGCTTTACAAGTCCCCTATCTGCTACTTGATTTGCAATGTTGCTGCCTGGTCTGCTTTGCCCATAAACCTTGAAAATATCCATCAATCTTCTTTTCAGTTACTTTCAGGAGTCTGACAAAATGCTTTTGGAAACTACATAAGCTTGTTATCCATATAACACAACTCAGAGTAATTTAGAGAGATTGCATTTTCTCCCTCCATTTTCCCCAGTGGAAACATTTACAGTGGAACATATTCAGATCTTTATTTGTGTGCGGCAAGTAAGAAAAAGAAATTCAGAAACCATTTATTTAGCCGCTGCATATCCAACTTTCAGAAAATATATCCCAGGAAAGATGCTCTCAGCTTTGTAATTTGAGGAAATGATTCAACATACTTACAGAATTGCATAAACAATGAGTACGTGAGTCACCGACACAAATAATTGAAAATTCATTCTGTCAAAAGATCCGAGGATTCCTGAAGAAACTATGAGATAAAAAGATAATTCAACCTAGCCTTTGAAAAGCCTACAGCTAAACACATACAATAGTGGGAGACTAGAAATGCAAAATAACAAGGAGATTCAAATTGACTGTTCTTTTTCTTCCCACCTATGAACTATATTAAATAAGTCTGTTAATGTACATTGTAATTTAATGTTAATTAATGAAGATTAACTAGCTTTGTGTATTGTACAGCATGAAATGGTAAAACTGGACACTTTTAAAGCTCAGAAAGCCTTGATTAAAATTTATAGCTTAAATATATGATTAATATATCAGCCAGATTAGGTTCTCTCACCATATGGGAGATGCATTCTAAAATGTAAACTGATCTGAATGGAAATATGTTCAGAATAATGAGGCAAAGAAAGGAATTCCAAAAATACTCAAGGCTACAATCTGTGATTAAGAAATTGATCTGCAGGCATATGCAGACTCCCTGCTATAAACTAAAGGAAATTGGAAGACTACATAGGAAGTCACAGTCCTTTTGTTATTCCCACAGCTATAAATTAGGCATCCTTTCCCCATTGCCTTATTCTTGTCTTTCCCCTACATGTTCCATTTAGATACACATACCTTATCATTTCTTTTCAATCTAGAGAACTGTATTTCAAAAGCCGAATTAAATAACAACCTGACATATCAAAATACTTAACCCCCCCTCACTAATAATAAATAAACATTAGATTGGAAAATAAGATCAGCATGCTAAGATCAGATGGAAGCAAGCTAGAACAGATGAAAAAGAAAGAAAATGAAAAACAAGATTGCCAAAGTATACCCAATCAAGAAACATCACCTAGAAACAAGGAAGATCAAGGGAAGCACTGGAAATAATAAAGCAACAAAAAACAACAACAAAACAGCTATGGCCAAGAAGATCAGCAGATACGAAATCTGAATTGCACCCTATAGGCAGAATCTCCAGTTTCAGTCAAATCAGAAATATTTCTACCAATCCATCAATGGAGAGACTGCAGTGAACCAATCAATATTTGACAAATAAGAAACTGTACAATTCTGGGCACAGTTATGGGACAAACCAAAGAAATACAACAAGATTTACTTACTGTTTCCTGAAAGATTCCTGATTTGATCATCACGTCTACATTTAGACTGTACATTTTTATGGACATCTTTCATTTCTGTCTTGGAACTTTTGAAATGAGACTGGTTATCAGACTCATGGTGATCTGTTGGAGAAGAAGAAACATACTAAAAGCAAGTGTAGGCCACTTGAACAGTTTTGAGACCAATAAAAGCCAGTGAAGTACTTTGCTACATCTAAACCATGTTTGCCCTCTCCGTCTTTGCTGAAGTGTTTCAAATGTCTAGACTAAAAGGTTGTAGGATAGTTGAGAAACAATTTTTTAAATGCAAACCTTGTAAGTGTTCCAATTCTGGGGTTTGAGAACCAGTGCTGCTGGATTCTTCCATCTCCTGTCTACGTCTCTGTATGATGCCATCCAATTCAGAGAAATCGTGATTGAAATCCTGGAAAGTATCAGAGTATATCAGAATGTATCAGAAATGCCAATTAAATATTAAATATCAATTTGTTATTTTCCTTTGTACCCTCAAAGTTAAAAACAATGACAATAAGAATGTTCTCAGTACAAACCTATATACAGACATGTTCTATAAAACACAGTGAGGCTTGCTGCTAGTTACATATATACAATAGGGATACAACAACTTGAGGCTTCAGGACCAACTTATGTTTAATGTTATAAATAAAAATGTACATTCTTTTAATTAAAATACATTAAATGTAATACATTTAATTATTTGAATTTTAATTATATTTGCTTAATTTCCCCCCCTCCCCCCAATCCTATCCACTCTTGTGTGTCCTCCAGCATATCATTCAAAACTGAAGGCGGCTTTCAGCCTGAAATATTGTGCAGTCTTGTTTCTACAATTGCAGCCAAAGTGTATCTTAGCCTAATGGGTAGAACATTAAGATGGTGGATTGGAGACTAAGTTTCCAGGTGCATAAAATTCAGTAATTGATTTTCATCAAGCCATGCTATTTCAAATAATTTAGTTTGCAGATAATATAATTTCTTTTGCATCTTTGCAAAATGATAGGGAAGAATATTAGAGCTTGAAGAATTGTGCAGATGTTACTTAATCTTATTGTTTCTGTGATAGAATGTAATAGCTGGATTCTCAGGTGGCAATGGGTGCATTCCAGAGGAATAAGAGACAACTCAGTCTAGAGCAGGGGTAGTCAACCTTGGCTCTTTTATGACTCGTGGACTTCAACTCCCAGAATTCCTGAGCCAGCACAGCTGGCTCAGGAATTCTGGGAGTTGAAGTCCACGAGTCATAAAAGAGCCAAGGTTGACTACCCCTGCTCTAGAGATTGTGTTGAGAGAAAGTAGGGTAAAAATAGCCTTTCCCTAATAGTTCTCTGAATGTATGGTAGATGTTGATAGTTGAGTGTTTGACAAGTTTCTGTCTATGATACGCAAACAATGAAGAACTCAGCTTGGAAGAATCATCATGTATCAGTTTTGACTTGGGGGCCTAACTATATATTTATGTGTGTGAATATGTATATGCATACAGATGATATAGGGTAAATTTCATGCCTCTAGGAAAGTAGACTTTAGTTCTAGTACATGTTAGGAGGAGAATTACATCATGTATATCAGTTATGCCCATTTCTGAGGTATTGTATATGGTAATAGAGTCACTTTGATATATGACATAGAAATCTAACACATAAAAATTAAAAATAATTCATGCTTTTGTCATCTCATGGCTGAATATTGTAACATGCTCTTCATGGCTCAGCACTTGACTATCTTTGAAACCACCACCTTCTCAGGTTGAATTTGCCCATGCAATAAAAGCTGGGAGAGAAATTTTATTAAGGGTCCTTCCATCAAGGGAATGCCATTTATAGGGATCCAGTAACTGGGAGGTCTCATTTATGGTCTGTTTCGTGGGACAGCTTGCCTCTGGTTGTCCATACCACTTCCTCTCTGTTGTACTTCCAAAGAGTTTTGAAGATATGGATATTCAGAAAATGTTTAGGGACAATGAAAATTAATCTACCTATCCTGAATAAGATACCCAGTAGATGTCTGCTGACATTTGATGATAGTAATTAAATTTCTATGGCAGGACATAAGCCACTCAGAGCCTTCAGAAACTATAGAAATTCTAGTACATAAATAAAATTAATAAAATATTTTTTTTTACTTTATAAAAAAGCTAATTCTAATGTAGTTGTGCATTATAAATGCTTTTCTGTTCAAAAATAAACTTACCAGGGGTAATGTTGTAGGCCGATCAGCTCTGAAACTATTTTCTAGGGAAGAAGGATTAGGACTGTTGCCATCCTGAAATGTGAAATTTTAAAAATTACACAGTTGGACTAGGATTAACTAAGTAATACTAAGAATAATCACAGATATACAGATAGAATTTGCTTAGCCACTGTTCAGGATTATGACATGGTGCTGAAAAAGTAACCATCTTTGCTATTAGTATCTTATGACTATCTAACTTTGTTGTTTGCCTATATACTGAGAGTTTATGCACTAGGGACAAATTCCTTGTGTGTCTAATCCCACTTGTCCAATAAAGAACTATTCTATTCTATTCTATTCTATTCTATTCTATTCTATTCTATTCTATTCTATTCCATTCCATTCCATTCCATTCCATTGACTTTTCCTTGCACTTATAGTATGACTTATGGATCTGAAGAAAGTTTTACTTACCTCTAGATGACTGCAAATAGATTTTAACAATTTGTAAACAGTGTCTCTGGACAGAAAAGAGACGAACACGTGCTGTAAAGAAAACCACCAACAAATATTATTTAAAACCAGCAAAGAGCTTGCCTTTATTATTCTTACTAAAGTATATCCCATTAATTATTACTTTAAGGATCTGAGGAATCTCCATATCACATGCAATCCCATATACTCAGTTGACTTTTAATAATCTGCCTTTCATAATTAAAGTTTATGAGAGGCTCTTTGGACTGTTACTTTATGCCAAGACTTTCACCAAGTTAGCACATTTTGCCTGAGCAAGATCTGCTCTTGCTCAGGCAAAATGTGCTAACTTGGTGAAATTTTTATTCCCAAATTATACTCCCAGAACAGGAGTACAGAAATACAAACAACCACCATAACAAAATAATGTAGTAAATGTGAACTTACCCTATCTGAGACTGTAGTTATAATGAGAGCATTTGGCACTAAAAGGGCAGTTTTAGTCTTCTTTATTAGTGTTACAGATAACACAGGTATACTAATCTAAAATGAAAGCATAATGATTATTAGAAGATGAAGATGTCAATTTAACCAACAATATTGATGGTTATGCAGCAGAGCCCATGCAAAGAAGTGAATACTGGTGTTTATAATGTAATTTCTGCTGTGCCTAGATACTTTCAGATAAAGCCAGACAGCTATCTTTTTAGATTTAAACTAATCTGAGTGCCAATTTGATGCCTATATTATGTTAAGACAAAAATAATAAAACATGTAAAATAGATGGATGTTATTTTCAGGGGGCTTAAAATTATTGTGTTTCCATCTGTGATGAATGCAAGAGCCCTGCAAACTACTTTGGTTATGCATTGCCTGTTTTGTATTTATCATTTAAGAATACACAAAACATGTTTTTAACACATGCGGTTCCTCTACATTGTGTTCTGACCTCTATTTCACCCAAAAATACAGTTACAACAATGCTAATCATTAGGAAATGGAGGCAGATTGATTAAAAATGTCATAAAAAGGAACGAATGGGAAAATTCTATATAATTAAGCAGTTTTCTAATGCTGCAAAATATTCAGCTAAATCTCATTTTGGTTATATCCAGCTGGGAAGCACTCCATGTATTTGTTTTCTTCCTGACAATGTTATAACCAAATAAATAGTTCAAAAACTTGCCATGAAGGAAAGGATTTTTAACAATGCAATTAAGCTGAGCATTTCTCTGAGAATAAAATCACAGAGGAGAAACTGTGATTTGCTTACAACTAAAGATACAAATTGCATCTTCACATAATGCTAAGGCAGAATTTAACTCTAAACACACATTATAGTTGGGAGATAACAATAATAACAACAACATCAATAACAACAACAACAACAACAACAATAATAATAAAGTTGGAAGGGACCTTAGAGGTCATCAAGTCCAACCCCCTGCTCAGGTAGGAAACCCTACACCATTTCAGACAAATGGCTGTCCAGTCTCTTCTTAAAACCTTCCAGTGCTCACCCACCACTTCCGCAGGCCCGGTTCCCAATGGGCTGTGGCTTGGCACTGGGCCACAGTCCTGGGTTGGGGACCCCTGCAATGTAGCATTAACATTTGCAACTATCAACTGTGTACATATGAGATTAAAAATTAGGCATGTATAATAGACTTTAACACACCATGAAATATATTTATTTATGAATGAAGGCAAATATACATGTCCCAGGATAATGATGCGAGATCGATTTTGGTCGGTCACCAGGACCAGAGATTTAATCTTCCTAGTTTTCAGACTCATGCTAGAGCCCATCTTCCACTACTGGAATACATGCTTTGGGCTGTTCTGTGAGTCGTGTTTATGTGGTGCCTTCCTATTGGCTGATTGGTGTGTTGATGGCTGGCGATTGGCTATCATTTACTTCTGCTGCCAAGCCTTCGGCTCCTAAGTATTTGATAAGCTGATGTTAATTCAAAATTCCTGTTAACTGACAAGAGGCCTGTTTCCCAGATTTCAATTATTTTCCTGGCTATCCTTGCCTGCATGGCCAATATACTATATTCATTTTTATTTATTTAAATATGTTATATTTATTATATTTATTTACCTTGGTACCTTTGCCAAAGACTTTGGAATTGAAGCAAATCCAGTTCTCCGATACATATAGCTTCCCTTGGTATACAATTTCTTTTTGTAAGGCACAGGTAAAATCTACAAAGATCACATAAGTAATGTTATATAACTGGGAATATGTACAGCCTGGCCAGGCAATGTATCTAACACACACTATATGTCTAAAATAATTTTCTTAAAACAAATATTGCAAATTCAAAGGTATTTCTGAGAGGGAAAAACCCTTTCCCAAAGTCTGGAAGAATATTCTAGTTGTCTCAGAATCTACATTTTGATATATAAATATTGAGTAGAAAGAGCTATTCAATAGTAAATACCAGTAGTCTCATTTAGCGACTACAATTGGGACCAGCAATTTGGACGTTAAGTGAAGCAGTCACTGTGAAACCAAGACTCTGTTTATGCTTTTATTATAATTTTCTTTTGCTTTACAGACCTGTAAAAGTTATACATGTGAGGATTTGTCACAAAACTCCTCTTTTCATCACTGTTGTAATTGAATAGTTGCTAAATGAGTCAGTCACTAAATGAGGTGTACCTGAGACCTCATGTACTGGGATTTTATATGAGAAAGCAAACTCACAATTAGAATGTGCTATGAACCAGAACTGTATTGTGTGTATATGTGTGCCAAAAAAGGAAGCCACTATACTGGGCATAAGCAAATCTCTTGATAACCCTAATATCACAAGTTGTGGAAAAAATAGCCCAAGTATCCCTTGTTTAGGGACAATAATTGGTTCTGGTAAAATGGTTGCTAAGAGAATCACTGACAGAAGGAGAGAGAGAGAGAGAGAGAGAGAGAGAGAGAGAGAGAGAGAGAGAGAGAGAGAGAGAGAGAGAGAGAGAGAGAGAGAGAGAGAGAGAGAGAGAGAGGGAGGGAGGGAGGGACGGAGAGAGAGGGAGGGAGAGGGAGAGGGAGAGGGAGAGAGGGAGGGAGGGAGGGAGAGACAGAGAGAGAGGCTGCAAATATCACTGAGTGCTGCCTTCTTATTTAAATAAAGTTCTCTTATACTGTGTCCTGTGGATGAACCATTTTTTCCTTCCCTTTTTGCCGTCTGGCAGAGGTTGTTTAAACAAGCTATCCTTTATTGAGTTGCTTTTATCCGCAGAAGAGCATGATCCTAAAAAACACTAAGATAAGTTAATAAACTCAGATCTATGAACTTAATTAGTGAATTAGAAACCTCCTGCAGACTGGCAGCTTCTGCCTGAAACTGACCAGACCTTAAACAGTTTTACACTGAAAGCTTTTTGCTGTCCTAAAAGCTGCATTGATTGGAAAATGAATTTTTATTACTGTTTATTACTGTTATATTTGTGAATGGGTGGCTATCCAAAGCAATTACCAAACAAGGATTACCTGTAGAAAACATGACTTACAAAAGTAAAACATAACGTAAAAAATGGCATTCTGCTTACTTTGTCTCAAAGGTTCATCAATTGGGACATCCAGAAACAGCTTGTGAAAATGAGCATTTGCCTTAAACTAAAGCAAAACAAAGAAACAAACAAACCAGAGTTTGGTTACTGCTATGTTATTTCAACTGTCCTCACCCTTGTTGCCTAGTTTATTATTAAATCCTGGGAATACTTTTTCATCAGCAGATGGAAAGGACTGGAACTGTACCATACCGAGTGCACAAACTTCTTAAAAACAGAATGAAAAAATCATTCTTCAGATAAAAAAGGGCAGGGCTTAGATGTTTATTTGCAGTTGCCACCTTGACTTTTTTGACTTCCTCCCTTCACCAATCAGGATCAGAATCTGATAGTCTGGAAATATAAGTTTGTTCCAGTCAATGGGAACTGGGCCGGAAAGATAGGTTATATATTCAAAAGAAATTCATCTCTGTGTGTATTAGGTAGAATTATTTTGATCACAATTATTTTCTGGGGTTGGCACAGTGTTTGTGCATAAAACTTACACACCCAACAAACTATGCCTAAGGGCATAAGGCATCTTAGTCTTTCTTCTCTGCTAAGAGCACAGTAAGACATACTGTCATAGTTCCCCAAGTGGTTCATTATTCCAAGAGGATCAGAATCAATAAAGTTATTAAGTACTTTAATTATTTGAAGATTCTGGGCTTAGTTATATGTGGATACAGTCAGCATCAGATGAATTTATTTTGCTTTTGGTTAGCATATTGGTAAACCAGTCATTGTGTTTTATTAGCCATGATTAACTGCTTGCCATATTGAGTCAACCTGGTCAACTGAGGCTTATTCAGTGAAGATCAATCCAGGTATATCAAAATTAGGCAGAATTTTGTTTTGAGAAATTGTGAACAGAGCCTTTATCGTATGCATACTGACATGTTAGGAGTAGTGTAGGCTTGTTTGATATATGTTTGTAGAAATGCATTCAAGAACTATAGGTTGCTCCAAACCTCAGGCCCCATAGTTTCATACCATAAGCAACTCTTTACACAGCAGGTACTACTTGGGGAAAGGTAAATGCTGAATGCATCTGTGCCCAATGGTCTCCCTTCCTTGAATTCCTATCAAAACAGTCTGACTGTTGCAAGCCATAGTTTGCTTAACAAACTACCCTTGCTTAGGATCACATATTTCAACAAACAAAAAAATATGACGTTGTATGAACTGTAATGGCTGGTTGGCTTCATACAACACGCTAATTCAAAAACATATTTTAGTTTAACAATGGGACAGCAGCAGATCTTGACCTGTTCTTGGTTGTAAGCACATACAACCTGCCTATAGTTGTCTCTTAAACAAATCAACAGTGTTGGCTAAGCCTATCCATACTGCATTACAGATCCCTGTCTGTATTGTGCTCAATATCTATGTCACACGTAATCTAGACAAACTTTAATTATGCAAAGCCATGTAGCACTAATGGCTACCGAAGCACAAACATTGATACTAACGCAGCTGTTAATGAAAAATAGAGCCCCGTTTTATCCTAACTTTAATAAAGAGTAAGAGTACAAAACAGCCTGCATCTTTCATCACCCTTCTTCCAACAGCACCAACACATAGAGCCAAATATCTTGGGATATACTGTATAATTGCCATTATCAGGTGGCATGGAAAATCTGAACCAGATCCTCGTTGGTCTCTATTAAAACAGTGCAAATCCTTGAAATAGCTCTTGTGGAATGCACAGGAGGAGGCCGAAGAGACCAGTTGTTCCTCTCCTCCCTTACATAGCACAATCTTTTCCCATATCCAGTCTGCCTGCTCAATGACACCCCATCAAAAGCCAAGTGAGCAGCAGCAGCTGCTGCTGTCTTTCTTTCACCATGGGGACAGCTGTCTTGATTTATCATCACACTGTGTACTATTGCCTGGAATCAAGACAAGGTGGAGAATGTGGGACACAAGGGAGAATGAGAGAAGAGGAGGAAGGATGGGCAGATTTGCATTTAAAAACTGGTCCACGTGAACCAGACCAAGCAGGTTATACTTAGCACCCTTGTATCACACTATTGATTAAATTGTTAAACAAAACATACTTTAGCTTAATATGTGAACTAATTCAGAGGATTATGCATCTAATGCCTCTAAGGATCAGCTCTTAAATATTTCAAATATGGTCCCTTATTTAGTAAATCAGAGTTATGGGAAAAAGTGGTATTTCAACACCAACGTACTATTCCAGCCTGATGTTGTACAGTACTTTTGTTGTTCTGTCATAGCCAGGGTCTTCAACATTTCACATATCAAACAGATTAGTATTTCTCAGTACCTGGTTTGAGGTATGCTTCTTCCTTTCAGCTTTTGAGTCGTTCTTGCCATCTAACGTCAAGAAACTATTATCCACAATTGTCTTTGACCTAAAGGAAATCCCATTACATTATTCTCATTTCATAAAAAATGGATTCTTTCACATTAAAAGTTTCAGCCAAGTTGAATGAATTTCCGAGTAAAGCATACCCTTAAAGATACTTATGAAACAACGTGGATTTCTTGCTTCTGATTGTGAAGAGACAAGCTTTCATGGCTTTGCTACTTCAATGCTCTACAGCAGGGGTGTCAAACTGGTGGCCCGTGGGCCAGATGCGTCATGTGCAGGCCACGCCCACCCCAGCTCTACACAGGCAAAAATGTTGCGATACGTCATGATATGTCACATGGCACAATTGAGTTTGACACCCGTGCTCTACAGCCTTCTCTGGTTGTATAGGATCAGAGACTTCACCACCACTGAAAAAATTGTCATAAAATTGGACCACTCAATTTACAACCATAATGGCTTACGATGGAAATTCTGGTCCCAAATGAGGTTGTAAATCGAGGACTATCTGGACCTTAAACTGGATGCTTATTATCACAGATCTGACTATTCAGTCATGTATCTCGCACATTGTAAAAGGTCCATATGATAGTATAATGATGCCTATATCAGCATAGAGCCATGGTGGTTCAGTGATTAGAATGCAGTATTGCAAGCTAATTCACCGCTCAGTACAGGAATCCTGACCGGCTCAAGGTTGACTCAGCCTTCCATCCTTCTGAGGTCAGTAAAATGAGGACCCAGATTGTTGGGGACAATATGTTGACTCTGTAAACCGCTTAGAGAGCGGTTTATATTATGTATACATAACAGTGGTGGGGTTCAGCCAGTTCGCACCAGTTTGGCAGAACCTGTAGCTAATTTTTTGTGGCCCAGGCCCAGAATGGACTTCTGGAAGTAGCATCCACACAGAGAATCAGTTGTTCACATATTTGAATCCCACCACTGATACATAGTGTACTTCATATACTATGAAGTGGTATATAAGCCTAAGTGCTATTGCTATTTCCTATCTGGACTTCAGTTCCTTGAGTTCCCGCTCCAACTTGGCCATTACTGAAAATTCTGGGAGCTAAATGTCACATTTTTGGAGGTTAAGAAAATGTGAGTATTCAAGTTTGCCTCAACAAAGTAATGTGCATTATAGACCAACACAATTTAACTTGTTAATGTGCAGTAATGACACATTTTCCTTTTCTTTTGAAGTGTTCTGCATCATCTTACAGCCTTCAGGGTACTGTTCAGTCACAAAGATTTTCTGTCTACCGGAAGAGTCACAAAAGGTTGTCAAAGAGACTTTGGAGCAGCAGAAGTGAAGCAACTCCATCTCTTTGCTTTCACAAGTGAGGAGAGCCCACTACTTTGAAGGGGTGTGCTTTGTATGAATCTTCAACACAGCAAAGCACCTCTTTGAAGTTTTGCACAAGCCTAATACTGTGCAGTATCTTAAGGAGACTGAACATTTTGACACAGCCAAGAATGTGACTAAAGAGTCCACTCTTCTCACAGGCAACATTCTTCTCATTTCATTTGACTAAATCCTTTCCTAACCTCTAATTAGTGGAGAATAGTCCCATCTTTTCAAGTTTTTACAATGGCAAAAACTTCAATTCTGCCCCAAAGCACAGCTGGGTACTTATGTCAAACAGAGAAGAAAAAAATTACACATCAGTCTCCAAGGGATAATTATAGGGATATACCAAAAGATAGGAAAAAGGAAGGAAATATAAACTGCATTGTAATATATGGGCAAACAAAATACAAGACAAATACTTAGTGGAATGCATAATGTCTTCATATATGCAATAAGAAAAATGCAGTATGGGCAAATGTTTGTTATTGGATTGGACCAGCATGGAATCTTGAATCAGTTTATGATAGAACAAAGTGAAGAAATTGCACTTATCTACTGAGATCTAAATTATGAATACAAGAGCGGCTACAGATTCCCCTCTTGGCTCTCACCAAGCTCCATGTCTCATCTGACTTAAATTTTACAGTTGCTTTAAGGTTGAAAAATGTTGCATCATCTTTATTTCCAAAAATGCTCTTGAAGTTGATTGTAGATCCAGAGGCATTCTTAGAAAATAAAAAAGGATAAGGGGCTATTACAGTAGAGCTCCATGCAGCCATTTTGTGAGCGAGCCCATGTCAAGCTCTCAAAATGTGCTACTTAGCCTCTGAGACTTGGGAATTGCTCTCTTCATGTAGTTTTTCTGCAGAATTATTATTTGGGAAACCAGCAAAATCCCAACATTTCTTTCAAGTTTCAAATGGCATCATTTCATTTTCCAACAGTAATGTTAGTTTTGCTGCTCTAAGAAAGAGAAGAGGAATCCATGCACTTCCATACAGGACTATTCACCATTCCAAATATATGTCATTCAAAGAATTAAAACCATATGTTATAGAAACAAGAAGAGCAAGAACCTGTGAACAATTAGGAGAAATGTGTAATTGCACCCAGATTATTTTACAGTACTTCCAGCCCTTCTGCACTTTCAAAGGCAGTGCGTGGCATCTGCAAATTAGTCAGGCACACACAGAGATGTGGTGGTTGGACTTGGACAGATGTTCTTGCTCCCTCCCTATTGGGCTGGGAAGCCAGCCACTGGGAGAGACTGATACAAAAGAGAAAACCAAGTCTTACAGAAGAGGGAGAAACTGGTTCAAAGTTTATCCAATATAAACTTATGTGGATGAATTCAAATGTCTCCAACATTCACAAAATATATTGTCATTTTTCTTTAATAGAGATTTAACCATTAACTAGTTGATTCCAGATGAATCTAGTTCATTACCGTGCAATTGCAACTTTTTTCTGGTCTTCAAAATAGTCGGCCTCATTAAATGATATTTGTGGCACCCCAAAGCCTGGCTTTCCAGATTTCTTCTTTTCTTCTGTTCCATTTTCATTTTCTGAACTGTAAGAAAATAATATCATTTGTCAGGGCTAAAAAATATAAAGCAATAGTCTCAAAACTTAAATTACAGTTTCCAGTTCCAATCACATACTGTACCTATATAGCTTATATTTGAATGATGGCATTTGAAGAACTAAAGATTTTTTTAGATACTTAAATTGATTATGTTATGAGTGGAGAACCAGAAGATCTGACTTTCCTTACATGTAACTAAAACATCCAAAATGGAGCTAGTTTCGTTTTTTCCTGGGGAATGCACAAGCTCTTGAGATAGGATCAAATTAACCATACTACCATGAAGTGAGGTAGAAGCTAAGAGCAAATGCAGAGAATATTACTATAAAGCAACATGGCGTCAGTTGTACTTCCATGCTGACTGCATTACTTATTATATGAAGCCAATTTTTTCTAGTCTCATTGGTGCCATTAATATTTTCTTTTATTACTCAAAGAGAGGGGGAATCCAATTGGATTCCTAACTGTGTAGTTCTCATGGTTAAGTCATAGCTTTAACATCCTGGATTATTAATGAAATGAACCTTCCCATGCATGCTAAAGGTCCTAACCCTTTGACGTTTTGGAGTCATTATCTGAGTTATATTAATAACATATCTAAGAAAATAAAAGGTAATCTCAGTAAATACACTGCTCATTCAATTAGCTTGTATTGTGAGACTGGCTCCCAATTTTAGAAAGCACATGGTGATGGTAGGTTTTCTAAGATGCGTACAAGGGTTGGTGATCTCCCAACTGCAAAAATCATGATACAAAGAAATCCATTTCCAGGTGGAAAGGAGGAAGGTGGAGAGGTTGTGGGAATAGAGGGAGGAAGGACAGGAAAGTGAATGAGGGTGGAGGCAAGGCGGGGACTGCCGAGCGTCTCTGAAAATGTATTGATATGGATTATTTTTTTATTGCTTGTATATGTAAATGCATCATATTGATATTTGTTGTTTAATTACAAAAATTAATAAAACTTTATTTAAAAAAAAGAAAAAAAAAGAAAAAAAGAAATCCATTTCTGCCAGGTGGTGCATAGGAGGACAAATGTGTGCACAATGAAGTAGAGATGAAAAGGTTTTTTTTCCCCCCAGCAAATGCTGAAGTGTGGTAAAATGAATTTCTTTCACTACTAAATTAAAACTACCTCAAATGTAGTCAAACTTTTTCATCTGGGTACTTTCTATAGTGTGGACATGTATAACAGGGCAAGGAGAAACAACAACAACAACAACAACAACAACAACAAAACAACAGAATAGAGATCAGGGATGATAAGGAATCAAGATTGTCAGTACAGTACAGGTAGTCCTCAAATTATGACAATTGAGCCCAAAATTTATGTTGTTAAGTGAGACATTTGTTAAGTGAATTTTGCCCCATTTTATGACCTTGCTTGCCACAGTTGCTAAATAAATCACTGTAGTTGATAAGTTAGTAAGTTGGTTGTTAAGTGAATCTGGCTTCCCCATTGACTTTGCTTGTCAAAATGTTGCAAAAGATGACCTTGGGATACAGCAATGGTCATAAATATGAAACAGTTGCCAAGCATCTGAATTTTGATTACATGATCATTGGGGTGCTACAAAGGTTGTAACTGTGACAAATGATCATAAGTCACTTTTTCAGTGCCATTCTAGCTTTGAACAGTCACTAAATGAACTCTTGTAAGTCGAGAACTGCCTGTATTTTAAATGAATGTTCAAATGTGAAAGACACTGTATCCACTCTTCAATGCATTCACATGGAAATTAACCTTTACTGTTTTGAAATAAGCATGTTTACAGTGGCCGTTTTCATTGCCACTGTAAGATGAAACAAATCATGGTTTAAAATAAGCTTTGCTTGCTTGTAGTTCCCTGCTGTTTCCAGGGCTTTCACTAGTTAATTGGAATTAATTTACCTTTCACAGAAATTGTTGAAAATGGAAAATTCGTTCTTCTTATATTCCACACTATAAAAATGTCAGAATAATGCAACATTCCACTTAAGAGTTTTGACAGTCTGTTTACCTGTTGTTTTTTATATTGCCTGGAAACAAAGCCCAACAGTTTGGAATAAGATGTCTCATTGAAAAAGCTTCTCCTTCTATGGTTTTTCTTTCTGATCCCCTGAGATAGTAGGTCTTTAATACTGACATAGATAAACTGTCTTTTAGCCAAGGGATTCATAATCTAAGTTATGCATGGCAGGGGGAAAGGAAAGAAAATAGCCAATTGTGAAATCTGCCTATTACTACAGCTATCTGAAAATATTATCATCATTGTTTCTGTTAAAATATTTTCTAGGTGGAAAGACCAGTTATTTTTTAATGATTTGACTTGTTTGGAAGAACCAGCCATATAAATAAGCGATGACAAAACCTACAAGCACGGATGTCTCTGCAAGAGAGCAAATGACCTGATGTGTCCTGATGTGACAGAAGTAAAGTACATAATCTTTATCACTTGCATGATGATATCAGAGTATGTATGATATCATTGCGGATCTTACCAGATACCTATAGCCTTTGTTTTGGGGACATGATCCCCTTTTATTCATACCTCTCAGAGCTTATACAGAGCTGCTGTCCTAGCAATATTTTGCAGAATGATTTTTTTCAGTTTGCAATAGCATAGGCAGCGTTCAAAATCCCAAATCAGGACTACTGCACATGTAAAAGATATTTAAATTGCAATATAAAGACAGGCTGCTTTGGGGAATATATTGAGCTAATTAGTTGATTTCAGAAATGACTAGCTTAAATAGAATCTGGCTGCAGGGGTACTCCAAACTTTCTGTATTTTAGCAGTTTAATTCCATAATTGGCCCTTATGGATCATTGGGAAATAAGTCCTTCCACACCTTTCTATGTGATTTCTTCCAAAATGCAGAATCTGTTGGCAAAATATAAATGGCAGCTTCTGTAGATAGAGCTAGTTAGGGTGAAAATAGAATTACTATATGTATGTAGGTAGGTAGGTATCTCTGTGTATATAAATTTTAATAGCAATATTCAGCTAATTAACAGCAATATTCAGTTAATTAACAGCAATATTCAGTTAATTAGTGTATTAGTCAAAACCTGGTTAATCAGTATATTCAGACAAAAGAAACAAAAAGAGCTGAAGATTTCTAATGAATTCTGAATCTGCTATGTTGTCTAAACTGCCTAATATATATAGAATGATCCAGGAAAGAAAATTATTTAGCTCTTATTGTGAGCTGTAAGACACATAATTCACTAAATCTGGTGAAGTTTAAAACCTTTAGAAATTGCTTTAGCTGAAAAAATTATCAAAAGACATTGAAAAGCTTTATAATGAAAGATAGGTTCAATAAATTTAGCAACCTTTGTTGGTTATTTTATTATTATTATTTGCTAATACACTACTCTCATCTATGTGTACAAATGGAAGTGAACGTTTAAGAATCTCAAGGCAATAGGTACAGAGGCAGACAAGTGGATAAATAAAATTCTGCTTAACAGGGCACCTTAAATAGATAAACTAAAAGTCCATGTTTTTTTTTCTTGAAGGCTGATGTTTCCTCACATCATATTAAAGCCAAGCTTTAATTCATTATCTCCCGATTAAGAGAGTAGTTGAGAATAATTCTTAACAAAATGATAATCACAGATGCCAAGAAAAACATATCATTTTAATGATGATAAATTTGATGTCTTAATGTGCTCCCTGTTTTCGTTGAAATCTGTAATACTGGGAAGACCCAACACATGCAGAAGCACTAGGCTGGACAATGTTAAACCACAATTTTACTCAAGCCTCCTCAAAACAAGATGACATGAAACAGTCATACTTCTAAAGCAGAAAAATGCAATGTTGAGTGAAGCAACATTCGAGGAAATGCCTTCAACAGAAAAGTTACAGTTGTTTGGTTGAGTAAATTGTGCTTAATTTATTGCTTAACAGGTGAAAAACATACTGCTCAATTTGACACATGTCTATTCAGAAGTAAGCGCCCTTAAGTATGTACAGACCAGATGCAATCATACTGACACGTACCTGGGAAAAATTCCCATCAGTGAGATTTACTGTTGAATAAATATGTTTAGGTTTGTATTACCTGCTGTGCTTTTTATTAACCCTAAGGCATGTCATTTATTTTATTTTTGGATTTAGAGTACCCCATACTAAAGACTCCTGCAAATACACATTCAGATGTTTAATAATTATATTTCCACTGCCAATTTGTACACTTTACTATCAGGAAGACTGTCCATTATTTTCCCCTGTACTCATATAGTACAAATACATTATATTTATTTTGGCCAGCAGAAATAATAGCTTAAGTAACCCTCTTCTTTGCTTCTTCTCTTTCTGAATTATGGTATACAAGACTGTTTTAAAGATGAAAATTACATAAATACCTGGACTTAAAAGTATATATTCAGAAGAAATTCTGTTTGCCTATAATCATCCTATTGCAGGAGAAAAACTGACAGAAATGGAGGCTAGATCCTTAAATGTGAAGATATAGTGTAAAATAAGCTGAAATCTGAACAATTTTCTTATAAATACATGAACATAGAGGCCAGTTGAATAGAACACTTTTCCCTGTTTCATAGCTTCTTCTATTATGGACAGAAATATTTTTTTTTGTTAAACTATCCTTATTAGTTTTGTAGATTGAAATCTTACCTGATACAAAATATGGATGCCTTAGTATCTAGGTACCCGTTAATCTGATTAATATTGGTTTAGCTGAATTACAATGAGGATTGTGGTTGTGGCTGTGTTTTGTCACAATCTTGTTTTAGTAATCTGGGAAATTTCAAGTTAACTTCAATATACTATTTCACCATGAACTATTAAATTACAGATACCAGGCTTAGGACAAACTAGGACTTTAACTTTTTAAAACCCACCTATTTTATGCTATCAAGGACAACTGAGATAAGAAGGTTGAGTGCAAATTTGACAATTGTGAGCAGATCTCTGTTTTGTATATTTGCCCTGAGCAGTTTTTACTGGGTCCTATATTCCTAATAGCACCTTTAGTGAACTTTAGACCAGTTATTAAATGGTAATGGTTAATGTTTATCATTTCATCTGTTGAAGGACAAATGTTGTTTGCTTTGGCTGTCCA